ATATATATATATATATATATATATATATATATATATATATACCACAATCAAATTAATCTTCTAACCATCTCTCCGAACTTAACCCAAAAGTCACTAGAATCGCAAATACCTAGGTCAACAATTATTGCAAACCCACTAAACGACAAAAACCAATTTTTGGGCCACCAGTCTGCAACTATTACGGATTCGGGCCAGAACCAATTTTCCTATGAAGGTGGACACTTACGAATCTAGCATTATGGATCCAAGGAAAATGGTTTTTGGGCCGCATCTGTAATAATTACGAAGCTGTGGTTACGTACCTGGTCCAAAAACTCTAAAATTTTGTCGTAGTGACTTTTGAGTTAAGTCCGGACATAAATAGTTATGAGGTCAATTTTATTGTAGAATATGATCATTTGAGTCAATTTATATATATATATATATATATATATATATATATATATATATATATATATTAGACAAATATTTGGTGTGGAGTAATTAGATGTAATGATCTATAGAATCAAAGATATTACAAAAACTAATTCCATCATTCATACCATACCATACCACACCATACCATAGGATTCTTGTAACATTCACTTGCTTTTCTTGCTCATAGACTTTGATTTTTTCATTTTCTTTCCCTTTTCGTCAAAACTACTCCAACCATACCCAATTGGCACGGCAAACGGATCTACTACTTGATCCATTGTCTTTTGTTGCACCCTATTCGTCAATGTTCCAGACCGACTACCATTCCTTGACAACCACGACGATGAAGCAGAAACGGAAGCACGTCGCGTTCCTTTCTCCTCCTCCTCATCGTCATTGTTTCCTCCACCACTAAAAAGTTGACGTGGACTTGAAAAGGGTGTAAAAAATTGTTCCTCCGGTGGTTGGAGCTCAACAAACTTGGTAAATGTTATCAACACTCGTACGGTTGGCACCACCGGAATCGCCACCTTCAAATCCAACAACCATAGAATCAAAAATTTTCATTTAACTAAACAATTACGCCTTACTCGGTAACTAAATACTTATCATCTCTTTCCATGTAACAGATGTCTACACAAACGATCTTATTGTGCTATTTTGTTGTTCTTTATGCTGACAAGGCTCTTAGCAGATATAAAACACTTGTACTAAGTTATTTTCAATAATAGAGAATCTTAATTGATAAAGTTAAGTGATGGAAAAGAAGGCTTTAGTCAATGTAATGTAGGCACCACACTACTACTATATGTTTGTAAGATCAAAAAAGGGAAAGTTGGTGATGGTGAAATAACTTTAAACATGTCTAGGGAGGGACATATAGATTCATAACAATGGACCCCACTCAAAGTACTTTGATTTGTGAACTATCTTTTTTTGGGAAAGACCAATTAAAGCTGGAATTCAGCATTACTACTAGTAAAAGGTGGTGCTTAATTATGTTGAATCAAATAAACATATTAAGATAAAAGACACAAACTGTGTTTAATGACCTCATTTTATGTACCATGTTATATCTGTTAGGGCCCACCATCCATCAAGATTTTCTTGCTCACATTTTGATTCTAATCCTTCCCTTCAAAAACAATATATCATACCCTTTTCCCAGATTGCATTACATAAAATAAACTTGGAATCGTCCGGGTAAGACTCTTGATCCTTGTTTCGTTCTTACCGGGTAAGATTCTTGGTCCTTAATATATTCATCCAGTGAGGTAATGTGACTTGATAAACGTTTATCCAGTAAAAACAAACAATCTATTTTGATGGTCGAAAATGTTAGTTAATTAAATTGTGCGTGAAGACCGAAACCATCTCTACAGCTAAATAAATAATCAAATAAAATAATTTAAAAATGAATTATATGATTTTTTTTATGCACAGCACAGGTACTCATGAGAACTATTGGATCACGCATGGCTATATGTTCTGAGATGGTATCAGTTGTAAAGGGTCCCATTTTAGGCTTTAATTTTATTTTGTCTTAATTGTAGCAAAAGTGTTTTTAATTAATAATAAAAATATAAATTATAAAAGTGCCTAAATCCAAAACAGAAGCAAAATCCAAGCAGGAGACTCGGACCCCATATAAGATCTGTTATATGTAAAATGACGAGTTTAGCCCTTACCTTTACCGGAAACGTGCCTTGTGGGAACTTGGTCGTCAGCAACTCCCTCATCCGTCTAACGGCTTTTACTTTGTTAGCTAAGATGTCCAGTAACGGCAGTAGCTCTTCCGTTTGTAACGGAAAGTGTTCCGTTAACCAAACTGACGGACGTAACGTCTTCACGTACTCTTTCTCTTTCGTCTGCGGTTGTACCACCGGTAACGGCGGCATAGGAAGGGGCGGAGGTGCACGTGGACGTCGACGGCGTTCTGGTATGATGTCCACGCTTTTCCGGGATACCGACACCACTTCTCTGTCTCCGCTGACGAAGCTACTGTGCCTCCGGCGATCGGAGACGCTGAACCGTGGATTTTCGGCGACAAGAAATCCATCATCGGAGTCTTCTTCGAGCTCTAGTGGCATGATCTGTTCACTTCCGGCGATGTCGACATCACCAGCGGCGATTTTGCGTGATCGGAAACTGAAATGTACGTTGTGTATCTCGTAAACCCTAGCTTTCCACTCTCCTACGCTTTCGATCTTCTCTTGCCTTCTCCAATTAGTCCGGGCAAATAATTCCGCCTTGGTCACGTCCATGCCCGGCCGGTAAACGCTCGTTTGAGCACAAAATCCGGCGATGTCGGTATCGCTTAACGGAGATCCGGCATTCTCAAAGGCGTCGAAGATTTTACGGTCGTCATGATTGAGAACGAGCAAGGAACCAGACGGAATATCTAAGCTCTGATCACCATCTCCAAGGAAGAGAAAACTCTGATTTGCTCGTTGAATTTTCAAGCCGTCGTAGCCAGCAAGCGAAGTATCGGCTCGTAAATTACCATCTCGCTTCCAGATCTTGTACGTGTCTGAGGGAGCAATTTTCCCAACGAAGGGAACAATAGAGCTCTCGAAGTGAAACGAGATCTCCATATAGAAATCACGCATACGTCGGAGGACGGCAAGGAGCCGGGGAAGACGACGACGCCACTTGGACCAGGCAGAGACGTGATGGTACTGGACGAGTATCGCAACAATGTCCGTACACCGCCGACACACAGCCTCCTGCAAAGCATTCCATCCATCTGCGTTCTGTAACGATACGTCAGCACCGGCGTTGGCAAGTGTACGTGCAGCAAACGCGTCATTGGTCCTGACAGCTAGGTGTAACGGAGTCTCCCTCTTGGGATTGTCACGCCGATCGAGTACGGCGGAGATTTGATCGGAAAGCTTCTCTTGGGTTAACGAGTCTGACTCAGAGTGAATCCTAGTCGGGTCGGCTAGCCGGGGCAAAGAGGATACGATACGTGAAAGGGTTGTATGATCACCTAGAGCAACGGCATAGTGGACAGGGCTGTTGGAGTAATGTTCAGGTTTAATCGTCTCCGGTGACACCTCCTTGGCCGGCGGTAAGGGTTTGGACATTTTGATGTTCTGTAAAATCATAGACTTGGAAACAAGGAAATGGAAATGGCAGTTTCATCTTTTTGACTAGTATCCAATCGGCGCGCCTTTTCATAATTTCCTACACACAAGTGAGTATAAAATTTTAAATTATTAATTATTAATTATTAAATAAATATGTAAACAACACACATTCTCTCTTTTTAGTCCTTTAATTGTTTATTTTTTCTTTAACTTTCCAATTTTGGAAGAAAATTAAAGAAAAAGATATAAAAACGAATTTAATAGTGTTTTTGAAACGTAAAGAACAGAAAAATAATTGTTTTTATTTTTATTTTGAATATTTAATAAATTGAATCAATTATTTAAAATGTGATAAGACTTAACAGTAAACTTTTGAAACCGTAAATTTTGAAAATTCAGAGAGCAGGTTCGCAATTACAAAGGTAGATATTGTGGACCTAGGTTAAGTTTGTAAAAAAATTTGTCGTTTGGCTTGCCGTTGCAGACCAATGACTATTTTCGTAAAAATGGGAAGAAAATGGCTAAGAGGTCAAACCAGTCCTCAAAATGGTTATTGTAATTAATTTCTCTAAGACTTAACAAAAAAAATTATATTGAAATAGGATATAAAATTAAAATTGGAAATTTGATTAAAAATTAGTAACAATTATTAAGAACTAGTTGTGTACTCGCGCAATGCGGCGGGAGCCATGAATTTTAACGATTTTGAAGTTCCACTGGTTTTATAAGATAAGATTTAACGATGATATAGGTTACACTTAGTCTTTACATATTAATATAATTTGAATAAATAAGAGTTATAGTTCCAATTACAGACTATCAATGAAAAAAGTTGTATGACAGTTTAAAATCCAATATATTTAAATCCAACATATTTAAACGACTCTACAAATGTATTCGATTTACACCAAGAGCAAAGAACCAAGAAACTTGAGTTTTAAGATAACATTCAAAACCAATAAAGAAAACTACAAATTTGACAGATCATAAGCCATGAAAAGACAAAAAAAGAAGGGTTTTAGAATGAAATTTCAACTGCTTACCCTCTTTCTTGTCCAGAAACTCAGATTAAGGTTGAATTAATACATGTATATATATATATATTTCAAAAAAACCCAAGAACATATTATACAGTGCAATTTGGACAGCCTAACCCCAAAATATATAATATATATATATATAAATAAATAACTATAAAAATATAAATCGTAAATATTAAAAATATTTTTTCACAGTATAATTGATATACGATTATGTATGTTAATTTGATAAAGGTTTAAAATGAAACATTTAAAAGTAAATGACGTAAAGTAAATTAATTAATTAATTATAGGGATATAAAGTATAAATTTAAAATTATAATTTAAAAAAAAAAATCGGTTGTGAGAGGGTGAGTATATGTGAGGGGGTGGGTGTATGTGAGGAGATGAAGGGTGAAAAAGTGAGTATAAATGATATTTTGGTCATTTAGTATTTTAAGACTTTAAGACTTTTGCTAAATTTGCTTAATAAGATATTATAAATTAATCTTTTGCCAATTAGGGCCTATTTGGTTTTTTTCCATTAAAATTTATATGAATAAATTTGTCTGTATTGATAAAGGTGTATATACAATATAAGATACATTGTTGTACTGAATAAACAGTCTGAATGTCATAAATGACTAAAATCAATAGATCCAACCAAAATTTGTAGTCAGCAATAAAATGTTCATGCTACCCAAAAATCCAAATTAAAAGATTGAAAGAAAAACATGAGTTCATTTATTCAAATCGAGACCCAATGTTGGATTTAGAACAAGACACCACAAAATGAGATCAACTGAGTCAAAAGCTTCATCACCAAAGCCAAAAAAGAACACCACATTTGATTGTAGGACAAAACAAAAAGAAACGTCATGTAGAAAAAGAAGAAACACTGCCATGCCCTACATAGCAAAATAATCATCATTTCCTTGCGTTTACCCACACCACAGGGAGAAACTGTAGGTCACAAGAACAAATAGGGTTTTTCTAAGAAGAAGATGAGAGTGTTAATTCGAAGATGAGAGCATCAATGTGTGAACTCGATTGGAAGTGCGTCTTTTTTGAAATAGGGTTTTGTCTTTATTGCAAAGGACTCAGTTTCTAACTAACAGATTAACCATCGGCTAAGCAAATAAGTCACAACCGAACTACTTTTTATAGATGAGCGAACAAGTCATAACTCTTATACAACCTGTTAAAGTCCTTACAAACAGCCCCTTACTCTTTAATAAGTGTTTATCTCTGATGATAAAAAAAAGTCTTGTAAAAATCCATTAATAGGTTGCGAATCGAAAATGCTTTTAGACATGGTTTGCTTCCCATGGTCCACGATTAACCAGGTATTGCATCTCAACCTTGTGGACGGTTTTTTAGCGGAAGCGGTTATTAGAAAGTTGGCACAAGCACAACTTAGGATGATTTAGTTCGTGTTGTGTTGGATTACAGATTTTATGTTCAATGAAAATAACTGTAAACCAGATAGATCCATATGAAAAATGGTTGTTCGGTTGATAAAATCATAGATTTATTAATGGAATTTTAATGATGATTCAGAATCAAACGACAGTCTTTAACTCGTCATGTCCACTTTGTTAGTGCAACCTTGGGGAGAGGATAAACCGTCACTATTATGGTTCTTTAAATGGTAATACAAAACCGTCATTACATGATATAGTAAAAAATAACTAACTTTTTAATACCATCATTAGATTTGAAATTTCGAGTTTTTATATTTTCAAGATTTATTTTCAAAAATATTTGATTTTATTTCTAAAAGCCATAAAAAAAAACAATACAAATTTTTGTTGAGAATGTCCCTATTTTATAAAGTATCTCTCAATATAAAACACATATACATTTTATAAAAACAAGTTTTACAAAAACTCTTATGAGATTTATTTTATAAGACATTTTAAAATTAATTCATCCAAATCGATATTTAAGTTTAGATACCACTCATATCGTGTATGTCAAACCCTGAAATCTGTAAAGAACGACTAATTTAAAATTTTCAATAATACACCAATTAAAGGATAAATCCTTTTTTGTAAATTAATACTTGAATTATCTCGAATATCAAATCTAGATTTGACATCAATCGTTCATAAACCAAATGTTACATAAAGACTAGGTCAAGGTCGGGTTTTACTAAAACTCAATAAAGTCGCTATCTCCAAATGCGGAAGACGTCTTCGATTTGCTAATTACTTCTCGTACCACTAAGTAGCACTTCTTCATGGTGTCATTAATATCATTCCCAAACGAGAACCTGATGCACATGCCGACAAATAAAAAAGGTTAGACTTAACACCTAGTGAGTTCAAACAGTTTTCATTGTAAATATAAAAGCGATAAAAGTGAAAGATGTTATTTAAATCATAATTTTCAAATGAAGTGTATTTAGTATAAAACCAAATCTTTTCCAAAACCCACCATTTTTGTAATAAAAAACTCATTTATCAAAACACCCATTTATCATGAAACCAAAGCCCAGGACTCACCAAAAACATGAATGAGATTAAATGTTCAAATACTGAAAACGTGGATAAAACTCTATTATCCCAAACACCCAAGACATGGACAAGGTTCAATACCCAGTCCATAAATAATGGAAAACGCTCCATACCCAAACACACACATAAAACATGGATAATACACTTATCCGAAAATAACACCTTTTGATGATAGGGAAGACTTGTATCTATCGAATGTGGCTAACACGAAAGTAAGTCGCATTTTATGTTAGAGAGTTCCACTATGGATAACAAGATCACCAGGTTCAACCGCCCTGGATAGTCCGAGTCCTCCAACAATCCTAGTCAAACTCGTTTACTAGAAATAATAATCACTATGGCCTGACGGTCATCAAGCTCAACCACTTACAGTCAATAACTCGAGTGCTCCGAGAAGGCTTAGGTGGTCATCAAGTTTAACCACCAACGGTCTGCAAATATTTCTAGCTACAAAACAGGGATAAAGATCCCATGTAAACCAACTAACTGACTCCTATGTTTATGAATCAATTGCATTACAGTCTAAAATTACATGATCAAATTAAATGACTAACACACTCAAGCATGTAAATACATACAAGTATGCCACAACTACATATAACCCCGAAATCTTAACATATAGCAAATAAAACCAAACAAATGTCCCCAAGTCTCATCCGAGTCAAACAAAGCCAAAAACTCAACAACCCAATCGACTATACAATAAAAGTCATTAAAGCAATGAAACACATTTTACCTATGTTTATGCAAATACATGCTCCAAAGGCATGATTAATTCAAAAACCCCTCATTGGTTAGGACAAATCAATTTCCAATTAAAATCATGTCATTTATATTTACAAAATGTCTCATAACACAACAATATGCATTTTCCATACCAAAAATACATTTATCACAAAATAATCTCCACGAGATAAATCATAAAAAACCCACACTTGTGATTTATATATCGAAATGTCCAAAATATACTTCTCAATATTTTATAAAACCAAATGTGTAAAAGATGCAAATCTATCAAGAAATCAATACCATTTGCTAAATCTTAAGGTAAACATTTCAACACTCCAGTGTAAACATTTTTGGCATGTACAAAATTTTTACAAAAAACAACTTGAACTCATCTTGTTAGTTAAGTTAAATCTAGGTTCCAAACCCATCTCCAGCTTCAAAGGCGATACAAGCTTTAGATCCACAAATATACATCTCTAAAACCTTATCTGAGTCACATCCAAACCTAGAAATACACCAAAAGTAACCTCGAAAATCAGTTCTATAACAAACCTTAGTCAAAAACTAAAATCACCCAAAATACTTAAAATGGACAAAACTCATAATATGAATGATACATCAAGAGGAATGTTCTAGAAGGTTGTAATGAAAGGTTTTGACAAGAATACATATTTAGAAGGTTATAATGAATTTACAAATGGGCTTCTAAGAAAACTCTAAAATGTAGCATATAAGATCACATATAGGTAAACGCATACCCAAAGCTCTCATTGGTCACCCCATATGCATATAAGTTCGATTAACTCTTCACTAAAACAAATATATAAGCATACAAAAGAATACACAAGAATAAAGGTACTTCAAATACATATAAAGTATGATCAAAACATAGGGAAATAATTTCCATGGGGCATATAGTCATACATTGACAAGATTATAAAACATATAATCATACATCACATGGAATTGATGATCAAATCATATAATCAATGTACAAAGCTTCAAAGCATATTTGTCCAATTGATGTGATTGGTAAAACAAATTTTCAAACACATGGATACTCAAATACTTTGCACCATTCATTTGGGTAATATCCAACTCACACTTGAATACCTAGATGAGTCACAACTCACACTTGGTCATTATCTGAAAGAATTTTAGAAACCAAAGCATCTTAAAAACATTTCAGGATGAGAAAACTTGTCACTTTATTTTGAAGGATCAATTGTGAAAACAATTGTTTATTGGATCACAACGAATGCCAGATTACACATTCAAGATTCGAAGGTATTGGCTAGATACGAGCCATCCTAACACGTGAAAGCACCAACAATGTGTTTCCAAAACTCTCTTCAATGTATACCAATTTCCGACACAAATTGGTATATATTGAAAGAGAGTTTTTGAGAACACAAATTGGGAAGTAAAACAAAGTGCAGAGAGTTTTATAAATCAAACTTGTAAATCAATTGCTCACACCAATTGATGAAATCAATTTAGAAAGTTTAATCAAGTATTTGATGATACTCTCCTTCTCAAAATTAAGACCTCCAATCTTCAGAAATTAAACCAAGTTTTAAAACGAAGGCATAAGAAAAAAAAATATTTAGAGCATATATCCTTAAATAATTACTTGCCACCGTAAAATATGTCAAGCAACATGACATGCAGAAACACTTTCTTTTCATGTTTTTGTGTAAATTAAAACATTTAAAAGTAAGCATGATCAATAAGATTTTTGAAATACTTGCATTGCACAAAGTATCCATATAGTTCTAACATAACACATGTTTTAAGACAATTAATTCTCAAAGATATAGCTTATGTTATGCAATATATAATTCTTATTCAGAGGACATAATTTGCCTAAATCCTTATTGATTGTCGTTCACTTATATTGGACAATCCTACACAAGGTAGTGAAGCCATTCGAAACTGATGTTTCTGCATATACATCAAACATGCAATCAACAGTTTTAAAGGAATTTCCATTTGTATATGCATAAGCACGAAAAGAAGAAATTTTTATTTTTAAAAGGATTGTGATACCAAAATTGCAACAAATTATGACACCTCCCATCTTCAGAATTTAAACCAATTTTAAAATGGAGGTATAAGAAGGAGATCAAACATTTAAAGCATATATCCTTAAATAATTACATGTCACCGTAAAATATTTCAAGCAACATGACATGCAGAAACACTTTCTTTTTATGCTTCTGTATAAATTAAAACAATTGAAAGTAAGCATGATCATTAGGATTTTTGAAATACTTGCATTGCACAAATTGAGTATCCATATAATTTTAACATAATACATTTTTGAAGACATTTAGTTCTCACAGATGTAGCTTATGTTATGCTAACACATAATTCTTATACAAAGGACACAATTTGCCTAAATGCTCACTGAAAGGTAACAAGCCATTTAGAACTCATGTCTTCGCATATACATCAAACATGCAATCAATAACTTTTAACCAAAGGGCCTTCGGCCTAGCGGTATCGTAGCCCTTGGCTTCTTAGGAGGTCAATGGTTCAAATCTCACCAAAGGTGAGGAGGGTGTGTGAGTTTATTTGTTGCATTTGTCGTATATAAATATTATATACTTCAAAAAAAAAAAATTAAAGGAATTTTCATTCGCATATGCATAAGCACAAAAAGAAAAAAAAGGTGTGACAATATCCCTGGCAGATATAACAAACTAAACGAGGAAACAATTTATCTTCCGAACTAAGCTACAAAGTATCTCGACAAGTTTCTCACTCATAATTTTCTATGTAAAGTGAAACAGAAGTTGAGGGAGCTCGAACAAGCAATGTGATGATCCAATTGTTGGAATAAGCCTAATTGAGTATTTAATCTCAAACGTGTTCATAACACCAAAATGATACTCGTTATCATACCTTTTCAAATTCAAATGCCATACAATTATCAAAATATTGAAACTGTCTTAATTGCTAGTTTAGAGGCTAACAATTTCTTTCTCCCTGTAAGCTCATTTAGTTTGTTACCTATTTATTAAGCGTTTCACCATTTTCAACAGTTTTGGCTACTTAGTTGTGTGTGTGTGTGTGTGTATGTGAGCGTTAAGCCTTTCTCTTCATTTCTAATAACAATTAATCACTAAATCAACTGTTTAAGAAGGTCAAGTCAAGATTAATCGCATTTTCTCAATGTTGAAGTACTCTTGCTGATCATATATGAGTATTTGTATCAATAAAGCGACAACATTAGTACTGAAAACATAATCATATCAAACTTGCAATTGGAGGTATTAATGCTCTAACCATAAATATAGCTCGTTTGTGCTCTTCTCCTATTTACTTGACTTACAAATAGTTTTTTTAAGTACTCAGAGTTACTATATAATTTAGTATCAAGATTTATATCTTCATATATCTAACAAAACAAAAATGTTTATGAACTTCATATGAATTAAACCACTTGTGCATTCAGTTAAGTGTTTACTTAATCTCCCATATGGAGCATCAAGCATAAAAAAGTAACTCAATTGTCTAGATTTGCTCACTACTTAAATCAAATGTTATCTGAAAAACAAGATATATACTTTGGTTACAAACAAAATTATGTGATGTTTGTTGTCAATTCATTTGTTTCTTACTAATTTTTTTCCAAAAATACCACTTCACGATGGTTGACATTTTGGTATTGATACTAACTGCTATATAGTTGGTTATCATTTTAACCAACACGAATGCAACATGCAATTAGAAGAGAAACAAAACAAAATATGTAAAGTGGGTATGCAACAAGTTTCACAGACTTGCCATCAATAAATGAGAGAACGAGGGTGAGAAGCAGTATGTGAATTTATGTTATGTCAGTATTAAATGAAACAGTATATATTAGTTGTAACATGAGTCAAAGTACATATTATGAAAAGGAAAGGAGATTATATGTGAAAATCTAGTTACAATGGACATCATCCTTGTATTGTCATGTTCATCCATTTCCTACATTTAGAACTTAAAAGAAAGTTGGTCAAAAAAGAACACACCATGCAACAAAGTTGGGTCTTTGTACCAACATGAGAAAGAAAAAGGTTAAAGCATACAAGATTTGATTTAACATATTTTGGAGGGATCATTTAGTAATTTTGCTAAGGGCTTATTTGAACCCATGGTCAGAATATTTAGAAATTTTAAATAAATAATTTGATATTATTATTTGTGGACAACTGTTTTTAGGAAAAAAAAATTCAATTAGAATATATAAAAGACCTTATCATTATTCAAGGGTGTTCGTGATTGCTTATTTGAAATAACTTATTGACTTATTCCAGTGTGGCATCGGTAATATACATTTTTGAGTGTTTGGATAAACAACTTATACCGGTACCAAACCGGTAATAAAGAGTTTTTGAAAAAGTTAAACCCTTCTAACTTATAATAAGTTATTTAGTCATTTTTTATTTATTTACTATTTTAAAACATATTTTTAATAATTAAAATTAAAAATTAAATATAATTATGGTACTGTACATCCCTGAATTATTGAGGGCAATGAAAGCATAATGGGTGCCAATCAACTACAGTAGAAGTAATAGCACCATGGCAAGAAGTTTAATTTATTTATATAGAAATTCGTTTCATATAATTCACATGTGTTGTTCTATGTACATCGAATTTATATCAAAATTGAATTAAAAATGATATTAAAGTATTTTCAATAGAGGTTCTTATAACCAGTTTTTAATAACTAGTGTTTGAAATCGTGTGTTTTTCCGTGATCAAAGCATATGTTGTGAAGTCCAAGATTCATACAAACATGATAAGATCTTCAAGAATCAAGATGAATAAAATAGTAGAGAGAATATCATCAAAGATTGATTTGATTGAGAGAGAGAAAATTACAGCTTAAATCTTGATTACAATCTGCTAATTACTTGGTAATAACAATTACAAAGAAAATACTATTTATACTAAGGAAAATAGAAAAGCTACACTATTACAAGGTAAGAAAGCTAAGGAGAAACTTGAATACAACTTTAAATCTCTTACTCAAACCCAACATTCTCCCCCTTTGGATTCAAGTTTGGACTCTTGTAAATTTCGTCTTTCGAAGTCCAAGAATTTTCTCTAATCTTCTCAGAGCGTTCCTGTATTGAATTTTCTCCTTGTTCAAATTTATCGCGTTGACCAACAAATATCTTTCCTTGGAGCTCATCCTTTCTGATTCAGCAGCTCTGTCATTATTCACCCTTTTCAAGTCAAGTGCCCTTCTCACTAATCTTATCGTACCATCATAATATTTATTCAGCTCACTAAATCTCATGAATTTCTTTACTTGAAGTTGAGCAAAGTAGATGACCCCGAACTCTGGCTTCTCAAGAATCATATAGACAGGATAAGCATCAATATCTTCTAATTCTTGATTTGATCTTTTCAGATTGATGATCCGTTGATTGTCTTCAAGGCCCATTTGAACATCAATGRCCATCGCCAGCTTAACATGACAACACATAAATCTCTTGATAGCCTCAAGAGCAATCAGTTCTCCTTCCTTTATGTTCGTCATGTTTCTGAGTTCAAAGTACATGTATTCAAGATCATCCAAATATAAGTTTGAAAAATCTGCTTCGTTGAACCTCCAAATCTGACCATCCTGCCTAGTAACTGTAAATACAGGATACCAGATTCTTAAAAGCTTTTGAGTTGTTTAATCGTTACAATCCGATGCTTGGTACGCACTTCAATTATTGGTAGGCACTTGGCTTTCAAAAGATGTCTGTATTCAATGCGGTAATCTTTGGTCTGACGATGAATGCCAAGAACCTTATCACCGCTCAGAGCTTTTCGATGTCGGATGAAAATTCCAAAGTAGACATCTTCTAAATATGGCTCTCGAATTCTTGCTCGATCATAACCAGGAAAATTTGCTCTGATATGGAATGGCACATAATCTCTAGTGAAGATTTCGGTAGGATCAACTTGTTCTCTTTGAGCAGGGATGTCTGACACATCAGGTAAAGCTGCAGTGGAAGATTCTGGAGCAGTCTGACGGTCACTTTGAATAGGAAAGACTAGATCTTCATCATCTATATCAGCTTCAAAATCAAAATAGATCCCAGTCGACTCGTCAATGTTGTCAATGTCTTCTCCAAAATCTTGCTCTCCACCCAGAGTAGTAGAAAACACATCGTTGAAACCTACGTTGGCAGACAAGTCCAATAACATCCTTGTTCCTACCGTGGAGTCCGCCGGCTTTTCAACTATTGGCTCGATCGTAGGACTTGTCTCCATTTCTTCATCTTCAATTACAATGGCCTCAATTGTTCTTTCCCGAACAGATTCCAGGGCAAAATCTTCAGCAATAACATCCTAAGTTGATGGCTCCTCTCCAACCCTTGCACCTTGCTCAGATGACTCGACCAATCTCTGTCTCTTTCTCTCCCCTTCATGACTATCTGGATCATCCAGATCGTCATGCCTTCGTTTAAGAGATGTGGCCTGAGACCTGCAAGTTTCTTCTAAGGTAGACACCCGTTCAGCTAGGTCATCCATTGAACTTTTTAGATCTTGGGTATTGGATGTGATTAACTTACTAACTTTATAGAAGCTAGCAGTAACCACATCTTGAAAAGCCAAAAACTCTGAGGCTCGAACAAAAGGATTAACATCTAATTGTTGTCGTATGAGGCCGACCAAATCTGCATCTTCAGCATCTGGATTTTGAGATGCCATCAATTTTGCATATAGTAACAATTTCAGTTCATCCACCGATTGATCTGGTACTGACGGTTCAGGTACATGTGATGGTGATGGCACAGATGGTGGCTCTTCTTCTACAACTTCCTTTCCCTTCAAAAGTCTTTTCAGACTGGCCATTTGAGCATCCAAATTATCTTGAACAGCCTTTAGGGCGCCGTCCAAATATTCCCTTGACACGAAGTCGGGTAAACTCACACCTGGTTCACTTAGAATACCAGTTGTAACAACAGTTGAATAAACTGTTGTGCCTACGTTCAATGTTGGCGTAATGTTAGCATTGGTAGGACTTTCGACCTGTCCTTGTGGAATGTCAAAAGACACCACTCCGGTCGTTCCGGCAGGTTCACTAAGAACTGCACTTGGAGCAACAGATGCTCCTAACTCATGTGTACCTATGTGTATCGGCTCTAAACTCGAGGTGCACAGAATCGAAGTCGTAGGCTGGGGCAGCGGCCTACTTATTTCAACAACTACATTCTCCAAATGAGAAGTAGTTAGCAGTTGTGCTCTATCCCCTTGTGAAATTGAAACAACTGGTTGTTGAGAACCAGTTGAGTGGATGGGTGGGGTGTGCATTTGCATACCTAGGCTAGCTATGTCTTGTTCAATACCAGCATTCAACGAATGAATGTCAGTAGCAGATATGGGTGCCCGACTATGTGTTTCAGCTTGGGAAGGAGCTTGATCTTCTTTTTCTGCTCCACTCTCACCCTCTCCATATTCTTTTTCTTCCCTTTCTCTCAACCTCTCTTCATTTTCAACAAAAACACCCTCATCTCCTCCTTCATCAGATAGATCTTGAAGTATACGATCGTAATCATCGCATTCTTCAACGTTGAATGACAAAGAATGTAAACTTGGACAAGGTTGTTGTTCTGAATATTCAAGAAATATGTCATTAATGTCATCAACAAGAGTCCCAATAGGAATATTCTGAGTAGGAATATTCTGAGCAAGAATATTCTGAGCAGGAATAGATTGAACACGATCATCTGCTCCATCATCATCATCATCTTGATCATCACCAGAATCTGCCTCATTATCAGTTTCAGTAGCTTTCGAACTTGAAGAAGTCGTGGAAGTACTGTCAGATGAAGTAGTTTGCTGATTAGACGCTCCCCCCGCCTGTTCACCCCTCTCAATTTCTCTTTCTCTCATCTCACTTCCCTGTTCAGGTAACCCCTGTTCCTGAACACGCTCTTCTATTTCTACCTCCTCTCTTACAGCTGAGGCATGGGGTGATCCTTGGGTAAGTTCTACCGGTTCTGGTTGAGCTATTGGATCTATCACTCGCCTATAATCTATTACGCACTGAGCGGTCTGATCAGCTAAGGCAATAAGATCTGATGGTACTGGCATTATGGAGTCCAAGTCTTCAACTTCTATGTGCTGCCTTATTCTGGTCATGACGAATGTAGGCCCTTTTTCAGAATTTGACCTGGCTGGAATATCTTCATTTGCATTCATCATGGCCTTGATAAACAATTGCAAAAATCTCTGAAAAGGCACAAATTTTCTTGCCTTGGACGGAAATCTTTTTGTATTAACCAGCTCTACTAGTTCATTCCATATGACTAACACATAGTCATAGTTTCTTGAAAAGACTATTCCATGAAAGAACTTTAGAAACGAACTGATGCATGTGTTTATGCCCGCGGTTTTCAATGTCAGACATCTATTTAGAATTGAGAACAGCAGATGCCATATGGAAGGTAGAAATCGTCTTTTGAACTGAGTAGGATTAGTCAACTCAGCAGAGTATCCTAATCTTTTAATATCTATGCACAACTGTTCATCAGAGACGAAGTCTTCGAAACCAGTAGATCCAGGACCAGGCAGACGAAGAATTATTCTTAATCGTTTCAATGTCAGGCGACTGACATATTCGTCTACTTCTCCTTGGAAATAGATAGTGTTTCCGTCATTTTCTAGAGTAAGCGTACCCCAAAATTGTTGAAGATACACCATCGGAACAGGTGTATTGGCAGATAAGGAATATGCTATTGGGTGGCCTTTCAGAATTTCTGGTATAATTGGGTATTCGGCTGGCATCACAAAAGAGAATGTATGATTGTTTGACTTTATGTCTAGGTATTTTATTTGAGGGAAAAGGGTTTCTGAAGGAATGAGTTGGTTTGACGGGTAAATTGGAATATTTTCAGATCTGACGGAAGGAACGTGAGATTCTTCGTCAGATTGATGTCGTTGATCCGCCATTAACCTGTAAAAATTCTAAAATATTAGTACCCATTTTATTCAAGAAATTTGAATTAAAAAAATACAACAACAACAAAAATTAACAAAAACAACAAAAAAAAAAAAATTCTAAAAAAAATTTAAAACAAGGAAAAGAAAAAGAAAGAAAGAAAATAAAACACAAGCTAAAAAAAATTACTAACCCTAAACAAAAAAAAAACAACACTTAGGCTAAAAAACACTTAGAAAAAAATTTAAAACATATTGACCGGATTAGAAGTCCGGACAACATACTAACACTTAGAAGGAAAAAAGGTTGTGACCGGATTAGAAATCCGGACAATAAAGAAAAACATACAAAAATTACTAAGTCTAAAACTTAAAAGGACTAAATCGGACAATCATCAACCGGATTAAGGTTGTTGATTGGAGTAAACTCCGATCACCTTGTCCGGTGAGATATCCGTTCAACACAAAAAACATTCAAACACACTAAAAATTCAAAATACACACTAAAATAATCAAAACATACACTAAAGAAATCAAAATACACACACACAAACATATAACAAAGTTAAAACTGATTTTATTAGAGTTAATCCTTTTATGGTTCATTTTAAGATTCGATTATGAAGAAAAATACAGATTAAGTCCAATCAGTCCAATACGAATCCAAAACGATCAAGGAATATGTATAAAGGAATCAAATGATGTAAACCATGATTAGCACAGTGATAAAACAGTAGAAGAAAGTAAGTCTTGAACGATAAACCAGAGAGTTTGAGCGGAGAAGACGATGAATAGTAAATGAGGATAAAAAATAAAAAGTAAAAATGAGTCGAATATTTATAGTCAAAGTCAAAAACCGTTCAGATTCTTAAATCGCTCAAAGCTTATCCGGATTAGAATAAATCGGTCAAGAGGTGTCCGATTTATGAATTGAGAAATATCTAAGTATTAATCCGGACAATAAATCGCTCAAGGCATGTACGATTTAGAAGAACACCGRTCAAGACTTGTCCGGTTTAAGAATAAATCGCTCAATGGTCAATCGAATTAGAAATAAATCGCTCAATGAAAAAGATAAATCGCTCAAGTTAAGAATTAAACCGCTCAAGAATTAAACGATTTAAAGACTTGGAAACAATTCTCTCAACAAACGATTTAAGAAATTGGACAAGTGAATTCAACGATTTAGTARTCCGCTCAATCCCTTTGCAAAGTATATCTAATCTTATCCGGATAAGAGTTTATCATATAGMCTTTTGTCCGGATGTCTAAATCGGACAATAAATCGCTCAAGTGTTGTCCGGATTAGACTAAATCGGCCAAACACTTATATTTCAAAACTCAATTATCTTTCAAAAATTATATAATACTCAAAATACCTGTAAGAAAATTATACACTGTTAGTTCAAAACAGATAAATTTCACTCCCCTCAAAATATGATCAGATAAAAGAAAAACACTCCCCCTCAAATATTGATTCCCATGATCAAGAAATTTAAAATCAGATAGAAGAAATTGAAACACTGACTTGTATTTTTAAAATACAGATATTTGACTAAATGAATTTGAACTAAATACAATTCAATAAATTGAACTATTTTTAATAAAAATACAAATTTTCAAATTTAATATACCTAACTTAGATACAAGAAAGCTAAAGCGTTTTTCATCTAAAACTTTCGAAAATAAGCCAGCTAGTTGAAATTCTGTATTTACAAAATACAGTTCAATGGTTCCTTTTTCTACATGATCTTTAATAAAATGATACCAGATATCTATATGCTTGGTTTTAGTATGTTGAACAGGATTACATGAAATAGCAATAGCACTTTTGGAATCACAGTAAATAGGAATTTTATTAAAATAAAACCCATAGTCTCTGAATTGTGTCTGCATCCATAGCACTTGAGAACAGCAGCTTGCAGCAGCTACATATTCTGCTTCGGCAGTGGAAATGGAAACGCAGTTCTGTTTCTTTGATGCCCAGCTGACTAGCTTATCTCCCAAAAACTGTAGATGTCTTGTTGTACTTTTCCTGTCCAACATACAGCCTGCATAGTCTGCATCTGAATAAGCTGTCAGTTCAAAACTAGTACCCTTGGGATACCAGAGTCCAAGATTAGCAGTCCCTTTATGATAACAGAAAATGCGCTTAACGGCACTTAGATGGGACTCCTT